TACTTATTGAACACTGTATATCTACTTTATTTAGCACAATCTTATTCTTAAATTGCTATTTCCATTACTATTCTCGCTATTCTAAATTATTTCATCCTAACTAGGTGAACACACCAGTTTAATTCTCCATTTTTGGTCTTTAACCTGTTCATGTTTATTTATATTTCTTACATTGTAATTCCTTAGTATCTTATTTAGTTCTCTATGTTATACTTCTTAAATATTCCATTTTCATTGCAATCTTTGGATAGTTTTCCTATCAATTTAGTCATCTCTGGAGCTATACTTTCTTTGTCCCTTGCCTTTACTAGTCTGATTTCATGTATGGCCTCCTCTGTTTAATTTCTTTAAAATTCTCTGTTTATATTTGGTATATCCTTAGTAGGTATACTGACTTATTTGTTTTTATAGTGATCTCTTCAGGTTTTTAGTTTGTTATAAGCGTTGTGAATATATTAATGTGTTATTCGATATGGATATAAAGTTTTCTTCACAACAGAATTATTTTTTTCCAAGTAAACATCGGCAAAACGTTTATAAAAACCAATTATAACAATCCAAGATGTACTTACAGTTATTTAGAGTACGTATGTACTGAAAACAATTACTTTTATTATGCACTTTATTTCGAACAAATTTTAAAGCGAGCTTAGTATTGGAGTGGTATCAGAGTTTTTACTAAACAAAAAATATAATAATTATTATCTTAAATCACTTATTAATTGCAATTTTGTGGAAACCAGAGGGTAGGTACTTAGGGTACATTACAATTACAATCAATTGCCTCCCTGTCTTTGATTTTGCTCCAGAAACGGCGAAAAACAACTACTGATATTTAAGAAATATACCTCTTTAAAAAACGTACTGTACTTTTATATACAATAAGTAGAATTTGTAACATTTTATATTTTTGTTTCCTTTATTTTCAATTCTTCATATACATTATTGTTTATTAATACTTCCTTGATAGCGTCCTTTTGTAAATGTTCTCTTTTTCTGTTTATTCGTTCTGTGACATTGTTAGCAAACTTATTTCAAATGTTTCATGAAATAATATAAAACAATATAAATGCGACACTCCACGTAAACAATATCCCAGATTTCATTAACTGTCAATGTAATTTTCTACTCTAATTAATTACCAGATTTCATGAAAATAAAAATTAGAGAGGAAGAAGCAATAATAGTGAAATGCTTTAGCGAGATCATGTACAAGCGAAAACAAAGGTTGCATTAACCTGTATTGTTACAAAGTTTAATACGGAATTCAAAGCTTTTGTCCATTAGCGGTGATTCCTTTAAACAAACAGAAAACAGAAAATAGAAAATAAGCAGTTGCGTACAACAATGTTTTATTATACAGGTTGGAAAACCATTCTTGTTGCTTTGTTTGTTTCTATGTCGGTATTATAGGATCCGTTAGTGCGTGGCATTAGAAATATTTTAAAGTAGGGTAATTCATTTGATGTGCTAAACTCAAATGAGACATGCAAGTTAAGCCAAAGGTACCGGCTTTATAATCGGGCAATGAAAGCGGGTCAGATTGAGAGATATTGTAAGCTGAGGATTGGATACTTGTACGAATTTTTTATAGTACTTGCAGTACGACCGAAGTTCTACTAATTTTTTTTACAATCACCATGATACATTTGAGAGCGGACACGTGAGTCTTTGTGGCACATTCGTTTTGCCGATTATTCTATGAATTACATAATATCTAACTCAACTAAAGTGACAATTTACCTGTTTTAGCATTATCAAATAATTCTATTCTGTAGAGGAGTTTTATTGTCTTTTGCATGCTGTAAACTTGTACCAATATATACTGTAATAAATCAGTTTACAAGATGAAATAACATAGCGAGTAACATCCGCATTTTTAGGGCTAGTGCTCGCGAATGTTTGTTGCAGTGGCTTCGACGCAACGGACGGTGGCATCGAAATACATTAATTCAATTTAGAGGGTACCTTTTCGACGCTACGTCTCAGCGGTACATTGGCGTTGTACAGATATATTAGTTTGTATCAATAATTACACACGAAAGGTAGTAGAAAAACGTAGTAACTATGAGCGATGAGAAATTTGACACAGAATTATTCTAAAAGAAATAAAGGAACATTCCTAAATGATCTTGTTTTATTTTAGCTTTAAATTCAGTTCGTCATTGAGCATATAATCCTACGAACATAATTAAAAAAATATATATACATCATTATTTCTTGAGTCAAAAAGCTTAATATGTAAGCACCTTTTAACCTTTAGTAAACGGGAATTTAGGTTAGAGTTTACGCAGCATTTTCTTCCTCGCAAACTGTAAAGAAGATATAGGCACAAATATCACTTCTTTTTTCGAACTTACATCCATCTTATCCATATTTTCTGTTCTTAAGATGAATTTACTCTTATTTCGGGACAGAAGACAATTATAAATTGCGTTTGCGTCAACGTGACGTTAACTCCCAGAAGGAGAAACCCTTCCACAACAAGCAACTGAGGTAATAGAGACCGAAGCGATTCTAGAAGAATTAACTTCGTCTTCATCAACCTCTGGACAACGTCCTAAAGCGGAACAACCTTCGAAAGCAAGTGGCAGTTCCACAAACCCCAAGGAAGAAACTAACCTTAAACGAGAAAATTGGCAATTCAAAAGGCTAATGCTGAAGGAAAACCAATCAGACCCAAAGCTAAATGAAGAACGGAGAAGAAAGGAGCCAACCGAACTTCAAATCAAACGGGGTCGCCTCCAAAGTAACAGTCAGTCTTCAATGGAGGTCACGGTAAGAGATCACCCCAAGAAGCCTAAAATTGGGTCTGATAGAGCAAGGACAACATCTGCAGCGCAAGTGGTAGAAGGTGGCTTGTCATATAAAGAGAATTTAAGAAGGAAGTACAAAAAACAAACCATCCTAATTCTCTTAGATAGCCAAGCAGCCTTAAAGGCTCTTGATTCAAACAGAATCAAGTCAAAGCTTGTCTGAAACTACCTTGGAATACTAAATGATCTGGCAATCCACAACAAGTTAAAACTAGCGTGGGTACCAGGACACAAAGGTATCCAAAGAAATGAAAAGGCTAATGAACTCGCCAAAGACGGATCAAATCTACCATTCACAGGACCCGAACCTGCATTTGGGATAAGTAAAACCTCTGATCGACAGGCACTGAATAGGTTGATAACCACAAAACACCAAATTCATTGGCAACAGATAAAGAGGGCACAGTAAGCTAATGCTAAGGGGACCAAACCCACGCATGGCACTACAACTCGCAAGAACCTCAGATATCCACCAATGTGGGATTACTAACGAGGCACTGCACTTGCTATAATACCTTTATGTAATGGAATTACAAAATGATCTCACTACGTGTAGACTTTGCATGGAAGAGGAAAAACCTCATACCATGTGATCTTCAAATGCGAAGCTCTTACTAGGCTTAACCTTTATGGTCTCAATGGATTACACTGATAAAAATTCTTAAATTGATTGTCATGTATTCTGTACTTGAACAGTATGTTCTGGTGAAAAAGTGAAAATGATATAAACTGCAATCGTGAAATATATGTATTATTATTTTTGTTTTTAATCATTATTTATTTTATTGAATGTACTCTCCTATATATTATACTGTGTTAATATATTCACCTTTGTATTTTATATTTTTATTTATGATGAATATATACATTTAAAATAAGAATGTGTTTGAATACATTCACAGCACTGTATCGTTTGTTTTTTCATTATTTTAATTTAATGATATAGGTAAAATCTTTTAAATAGTATATTTTTTATGGTTATTTAAATATTTATATTTCTAAAATTATGTTTTGTACTATGTACTAGTCTATATATTACATTTATTTGTATAGTAGGATTTCTATTTTATTAAAGTTATTATTATTATAAGAATCGCATTCTATCGAACGAAGATAGGCATCTCGACATGCTCCGTATTAAAACACGAGAATCCCACTGTTGGAGTAACTTGATTTACAGCGACCAGAGAACGCACATTTCTCTTGTGACATCTGCCATATTAGTGCCAACAAGTAACACCTGTCACCGCTGTCACTCTAGCCGCCCAAAACATGGAAGAAATTCGTTAGATTTAAAATTTAAATAATGGCTTTATAAATAACTATTAACTGAAATAAAAAAAAAATTAAAATACTTTAAAGAAAATTATAATGACTCTTTAGCAAGGTTGGACATTCCAACAATTAACGATCGCAATCCAGATGACCTTTAAATTCTTTAGAATCTTTCTGATAATAATTATTTTACTTTTAACTCTGAATTTCAAACTAATTCCCTATTAGATTCATCATATTACTTTCCCCTTTTATTTTAATTTGTCTTTTAACTGTAGACACAATTTAATTTGGACAATGATTTGGGGCATAACCCGTTATGTCGACACAAAGCCCAGGCTTCTTGAGGTTCTATATGAACGACCAAGGGTTTATACCCTAATTATTTTCTCCAACATTTGGTTTTATGTAAATTTGGCAAATACAAATTCCATTCATCTTTATAAAAAATAAATTTTTTGACTTAATTTTTTGTTTAATTTACATAATTTTATATTACAGCACTGAAGTTGGCGTTATGCCGAATGCGCGTTGCATTTTTTAAACAAAACAATTTTTCACAAAATACAAGGTATGTTTTGCTAATTAGTATTAATTTATAAACAAAGAATGGTAACAATATATTCCCTAACTGTATTTGTTATTTTTGATACTTACTCAGCAATTATTTCTATTAGAACTTAACAATTTTTATCTTTACATGCACACTGTGTTTTAGTTTTTTAATAACTTCAAGATAAAGTATTAGCACACCTTTCTTACAAATAGTTTGTTTCTTAGAGAATAGATAAAGAAGAACCTAGATGAAAATTATGTACGGACGTTTATACAGAGTATCTCGAATCTCATGTAAGCCAGAAAGAGCACGATTTGTTATTACATAAAATAAATAAATAAATATTTAGTTACCTCTTAAACACTGTCCGTCTTCGTCTAACTCGCTCTCCATAACGAACGGGGGAGATAGGGCGGTGACCACCCTGAATACAGTACGAGCACGCGACGAAACCGCTGCCACGGAAAGATCTCCACCAGGCCATATGATCGTGTCTAAGCGCACAGAACGACCGGATACCATTCCAACTCGTTTCCATCTAACATTCGATGAAGAAGGATTATCTGAAAGTATAAAAATATATGTTAAACTAAAATTTATAAATTACTAAAATGAGAATTAAATAATATACATTTTCTAAAATAGTGGCAACTCCTGACCAAAATATTGGGCATTCACGACAGAATATGGATCTCAGTGTAGATGTAGGTAAAAATATTTCAGTGTTTTAGAAAGGTATAGGTATAAAAAGGTACTAAAATAAATAGTTGGTGTATGAACGTATTAAAACGTGCTCCGACAAAAATTTAAGTTTAACCGGGAAATAGTGCTACTACTGGAACATAATTTTGCATGTGAGTCTACAATCATATTCTTTAATCAACTCTCCCAAAATAAGACCCATTTATATATACTGCAGCCTGCAAATTGCACTTTAGTCAACAATCAATCGTCGGTTAAACAAATTTATCTATAATCTACACATTTTTTGCTATATGATATCGTCCACCCCAACAGTTCGAGTTAGAGATGGGAGACTCCAACGAGCTAATTAACAGCAAATTATACATAAAGATTCTAGAAGTCATTAAGACTGAAAATAATAAATTATTTTATGCTGACGACACCCAGCTTTACCTCGAATTTAACGAATTAGACGCCGATTTGACCACCTTGTAAATCAACAGAGACCTCGAAAACTTATCTGAACCATCGAAAAAATTTTGCTATCAATAAACTCCACAAAATCAAAAGCTATGGTATTCGGTCGCAAGAAATCCAAAAAAAAATAATATGCTAATTTATATTGATAACAAAAAACTTAGGTATTCTTATAGACGAAGATTTGCATTTTTCCCAGCATGTTGACTTTATTATTAAAAAGTCTTTTTGCAATTTAAAATTAATCTATTCAAATCGTGACATTTTAAACAAAAATACAAAAAAAAATACTGTGTGAAAGTTTAGTCTTGTCTCAATGAACGATAGATAGAGGACCAATTGAGTGGCCAGCTAGATGGCCAGATCTAACACAAGTTGATTTTTTCTGTTGGGGTATGTGAATAATGAGGTGTATAAAATATCTGTAACTACAAGAGGGAACATTAAAAATAGAATTATGGTTGTTTTTCAAAACATTAGTATTCCAATGGCTAGAAATGTGGGAAGGCCGTTTGAATATCCTATACAACTCTGTTTAAATGTAATGGAAGGTCATTTTGAGCAGTTATTGTAATTATTTTGTTCTAAGTACTATTTTGAATTTTTTGTTTTGTTAATAGCTGTTAGTATTAATGACAATCTTGTTAAAAAATCTGTAGGTTTATTTTTTTATTTTTAGATCATTTGTAATTTACGTGTTTTTCAAGCTGTCAATTGCCAACTCTACGAAACTGTCAGTATTTACCAAAAATATCGTTTTAATAATAAAAATCAAAAAAACTCTACTAATGTAACATATAGGTAAAGGTAATACTTAACAAAAGTAAAAATATTTTGTAAGTAGTTTATGAAAATGATATATGTTCCATTTGAAATAACCGAGAAAATCATGGTGGTGAGTTTTGAGTTACCCTGTATACAAAATGAAAGATATCAAAAACATGATAAGTTGCAACAAAATTACTACGAAATTATTCTGGTATTGAGATATTAACCCTCAATTATTGATTCTAAATAATACAGGGTGACGATTTTTATTAAGATTTTCACATAAAAAGTGGCAATTTCTTTAAAAGTATCCTGTAGAACCTAATAAAATCCTATTTTGCCGGAATGAAGAAAATGATTAAAATTTAAATTCGAGATAATATATAGGGTGTTTCAGTAAAAAAACAACTTTGGTATGCTGTAACTTTATGAAACACCCTATATAATAAGAAATAATTTTAAAATGTGAAGCTGGACTCTATCTATAATTTGTATTTAAAATTTTTGTTCGTATCTCTTAAAACAATGGAGATATCAAATTCCGGAGTATAAGTTGATCACCCTTTATGTTAAAACATACAAGTTAGAACATAAAGAATATCAAACTTCCTTGCCAAGATATAAAATAAGTCAAAAATAGCATCACCTTATTTATAGTGCCCTAATTATTTCCTTAGAAAACATCCCTTCCCTTCACCCTCTATTCCTCAGCTGATAAAATTCTTGTTTGTCTCATAACAAAATCAATTTACCTTGTGTAGTGTTAGTTCCTGTAGAAAAACAAGCAGCAAGCTCGCAAGAATTTCGAGAAAAAGATGAGACCTAGACATAAACAAGTTTACCACTTAGTTCGCCGACGTCTCAAGGGTGAAAAAGGTCTGCTAAATGCAATCTTGAAACAGTGGTGTACACACATATTATACGAGAAATGTTGTTAGGATAAAATAGGTTGTTGCTACAAGAAAACATCGGATAATTAGATTATCTTACTAAATGGTTCTGAGTTAGCGATCGTACAAATTTTCAATCTGTAAATATTTTATTTTAAGAGCGTTGCTTATGTTCTAAGGAATTGAAAATTTCCGGGATTATTGTGTAAGATTTGTTATATGAAATTTGGCGGCTATATTAAATATATAATGGAGAATGACATGCCGAGTCTAAATTTTTAAGTCATATTTTTAATATATCGTAAAGAATATAAAATAATTTTTTTGGAAATACTAAAAATCAAAAAATGTAGTTTTTTTAATGTTTGCGTCGCACCACGTGGTAGCATGTTTACGGCGAACGTGATGACTCGCTTAAGTTCGTTGAATTAACTGTTGGAAGCGTGAGTTGACTTGCAAGATATTCTGAAAATCGACGTAAAAAACGATAGTGTTTAACTTTCTGTTCTCGGAATTTGACTGCCAGTAATAAGGTAACTTTGGTAGTTGTAACTAATTGTTAGATGACTGTAGATGATCCAACATAAATACTGAACAAATATATTACATGTTAGATTTTTAACAGGCTATTTTCTTTGGTGGGGTAATTTGGGACATAATAGGGTTATTTGGAAAATTGGCAGGTTCATTAAGACAGCAAAAAAACATGAAATATATGACCGATAACAGTGAGTTTTTTTCCTCCAGGCTGTAAAAATGGTGCGAAAGTATCTAAGGAAAAAAATTAACCCATACTTCTCCTATTCGGAGAGTAATTTAGCGAAAGCCTTAGATAAAATAAGAAAAAAACGGGAACGAAATATTAGAACTGCAACCGAAAAGTATGGTATTTTCAAATCCCCGCTAGGAAAGAAACTTCTTGGCCAAAATATGCAGCAAAAACACCAGGGTAGACAGTCTGTTTAACGATGATGAAAAAAATGTTTTTGTACAAAACCTGAACACGGTTGCTTCATTTGGCTTGAGAGACTTGAAAATGATAGTGAAACGATAAAAAAAGCGTTCGGGTCGGAAGAATCAACGACAGCATGTCGGGAAAAGAGTGGGCTGTCAATTTTATCAAACGAAATAAAAATAAAATGTTAAATCGCCTTTCGGCTAATATATAAACCAAAAGTCGCTTCTTTAGAAGATGTGTTAGATCGGTTTTTTGAAAATGCATCCCAAATGTTGTCTGGGAAAGGTCCTTCTCTAATTATTAATTTTGATGTGACAAATCTCACAGATAAACCGGGGTCTAAAAAATTAATTTACAAGAGGGGTACCAGATACCCAGAGAGGATAATTAATGCCACCAACACCGCAATTAGCTTGATGTAAGCGGGAACAGCCGATGAACAGATTCTTCCAATATATGTTGTTTACAAGACTAATCATTTATGGGATTCTTGGACCGTCAGTGGTTCTCCAGGTACAAGGTATAATCGTTCCAAGAGTGGCTGGTTCGACAGTATATCCTTTGAGGATTGGTTTTTGACTGTAGTTATACCATTCTTTCGGAAAAAAGATGGTCAAAAGGTAGGTATGATTTAGTTCTTCTAAAATTTTGGGTTACGTCTTTATAGCAGATAACCTCTTATTGCACTTTTCAGAGAAGGTTCTTCAGAAGTGCGAGGAATTGAATATTATGTTCATATGTCTGTCACCGAATGCAACACACGTAATACAACCGCTACACGTTGCGTTCTACGTGCCACTCAGAAAATATTGGCGTTGGCATTCTAAGCAATTTGAAGGAAACAGCTGGTCGTAAATTTTCGTCATTAACAAAAGATGCATTCCCCAGCCTTTTAACAAAGTTGCAAGAAAAACTTGAAGAAGGGGGAAAGCGCTCGTCCAATTTGGTGTCAGGATTTTCCAAAATTAGGCTATATCCTGTAGACCTATCAAGACCGAAAGAAAGATTACCTAGATCACAGGAATCAGAAAATGTTACTAATGTAGTCTCTGACGTGATAATAAATATTTTAAAAGATATGAGGTCTGGGGACCAAAAAAAGAAAGTTGCTCGACGTAAGAGACTTAAAGTGGAGCCTGGAAAAAGTGTGGGTGACCTATTCTTTTATTTTTTCTGTTATTTTTGTCTTGTTTTGTTGTTACTTTACAATTTGTTATTTATTTACATAATTGTACTATTATACCTTATACACCGTGTCCCACGTAAGGCGGGCATTACAACTTTATGGAGAATAAATTAATTTGTATTTTCGCCATTTTCTGAGTATACATAATCGAATATGCTCTTTTGAATTAAAAAAAAATGAACTCTGTGCAACTTCCGGTTATACCGGAAGTGACCACTAACTTCGTTATTTTAAAGGGAACACCCCATATTTTTTTTTAATTTTAGATTTAGCTTGAAATTCTGTAAACAACGATACCCCATTTGCCTATTCTAGTTATAGCGGATTTGGCGTTATTCAATTTTTTTCTACATTTTTAGTCGCCGGTAGACATTTTCTTAAAGTCGTCTATCTCAGGTACTATATCTATCAGATACTTAAAATTTTAACCAGAGGTAGTAGATGGGATGTTCTTCTTGAGAATATTTAGTTATTCATTATTTGTTGTACGGGGTGTTTGCAAATTATTTTTAAAAATGAAATTTTTTGAACATAAAAAACTTTTTTATTTTAAAGGGAACACCCTATATATTTTTTAAATTTAGGATTCAGCATGAAATTCTGTAAACAATGATACCAATTTGCCTATTCTAATTATAGCGGATTTGGCGTTATTCATTTTTTTTTAATTTTTAGTCGTCGCGCCGGTAGGCATTTTCTTAAAGTCGACTGTCTCAGGTACTATTTCTGTTGGATACTTGAAATTTTAGCCAGACGTAGTAGATGGGATGTACTTTTAAAAACATTTACAGTTTTCTGCAACAAAATATGTCGTTTAAAAAGTTTAAATTTTTTTAATGATAAGGTACATACTAACTAAAAACAATTTTTATTAAAAGCACATGGTTTAAAAAAATCATTTTATCAAATGTTCAAAATGCCCCCCGTTAGCTTCTAAACATTTTAACAATCTTTTTTCAACATGATTAGTTGTTGCTTTACGAATCATTTCACCATCTAACTCGTTAAAGGCATTCCGAACTCTTTGCTCTAATTCTTCATTAGTATTAATTTGGGTAGAGTACACTAAATTTTTAATATGACCCCATAAAAGAAATCAACAGGAGTTAGATCTGGCGATCTTGCAGGCCAAAGCCAAGGACCATTTGGACCTATCCATCGGTCTTCAAAGAGTGCTGTAATTTCTTGATTTACATAGTATGTTGAATGTGCTGGAGCACCATGCAACTGGTACCAAAAATTATTATTTGGTAGCTGGTTTAAAATGTCGGCAACTACTTCTCTAAGAATTCTAATGTATCTTTCTGAGGTCAGTCTTTCATTATAAATGTAATAAAAAGCTCTTCCAAAACCGATCACTGCAAACACCTTAAAACTAAATTCGTACTGAAATTGTGCTTCACGATAAAAATGTGGATTTTCGTTTGCCCAGAAATGACATTGCTTGCGATTGATGATCCCTTTACGTGTAAATTTCGACTCGTCTGACCACAAAATTTTGTTTAAAATCTCGGGATCTTCTTGAATTCGTACCAATAACCATTCGCATAATTCAGTTCGTCTTATTTGATCACCATCTCGCAACTCATGAACTTTTCTTTGTGCATAGGGATGCCATTTATTTAGTGCTAAAATTCGTTGTATTGACCCTCGACTAATATTTAAATTATCTTGAGCCATTCTAATGGAGGCGTGAGGATACGCAGTAAAATACCCTAATACGTTAATTAAATTAACTTCTTCATCTCGGACATAATGTTGACGGTTTCTTCCCGGGTTTTGTTTAAAATTATTCAAAAAGTTAGCTTCGATTCTATCAAATTTCTGTCTGTTCATTGGTGGTAAATGAGGGTATCGTTCATTAAACATGCGGCAGGTTCTACTTTTGATTCGATTACATTCTCCATGAATGTAAAATAAGTTAAGAATATCTTGGTTGGTATATTCTTCAATATTTTCCATATTTTCCATATTTTGAACGCAAAAAATACACAACTTAAATACATAGAAATATGACAATTCAGTTTGTTGACAGATTGTTGTTTAGCATATTTCCACGGCATACTAAGATAAAAAATTAAAATGTAAAACTATACTATATTATGTAGATGCATGCGTAAAATTTAAATTTAAATTTTCTTAAAATTGGCGAGAGATAATTATAGGGAATTAATAGTGCAAATGAAGATCAATGAAGAATAATTTTCTGAACAAAATGAAATAAAAATATACAGGATTTTCCATTTAAAATAAAAAAAATTTTCATGTTTAAAATATTTATTTTTTAAAATAATTTCCAAACACACAGTCGAACAAACGATGTACAAGTAAATTTAAAAAAGCAAATGTCTGCCGGCATATAAAAGTTTATAAAAAACTGAATAACGCCAAATACACTATAATTAGAATAGGCGAATGGGGTATCATTGTTTACAGAATTTCATGCTGAATCTAAAATTTAAAAATATATATAGGGTGTTCAACTTAAAATAAAAAAGTTTTTTATGTTTAAAAAATTTCATTTTTAAAAATAATTTGCCAACACCCCGTACAACAAATAATGAATAAATAAATATTCTCAAGAAGTACATCCCATCTACTGCTTCTGGTTAAAATTTTAAGTATCTGATAGATATAGTACCTGAGATAGACGACTTTAAGAAAATGTCTACCGGCGACTAAAAATGTAGAAAAAAATTGAATAACGCCAAATCTGCTATAACTAGAATAGGCAAATGGAGTATCGTTGTTTACAGAATTTCATGCTGAATCTAAAATTAAAAAAAAAATATGGGGTATTCCCTTTAAAATAACGAAGTTAGTGGTCACTTCCGGTATAACCGGAAATTGCACAGAGTTCATTTTATTTTAATTCAAAAGAGCATATTCGATTATGTATACTCAGAAAATGGCCTTACGTGGGACACGGTGTATATACTTTGCTATTGCTGTTTAATTTAGGTGCCTAAAAAAAGCATACTTATATTTTATATTGATATGTAGGTTTTTTAAATCTTCTTAAAAATATGTAATGATCTCTAAAGCTAAAAAATATTTAAATTTTTTTTAATTTTTAAATAAAAAAAAATAGCATGCCATTTGATAGTAACAAAAAACGTCAAAACATTAATAAAGATAAAACGTTGTCTAATTAAATTTTGAATTCATTTTAATCAAGGAGATTTTATCACCATCTTAATAGGCCTTTTTTTTTAGCAAATTTAATTTAACTTTAAAACTACAGCTTAAGCGTAACTGCGACGTTTTGGGGAAGGGCGACAGACAACATAAGTTTAGTAAACTTCTTTTCCTTGGGGCGCTTTTCCCTGTGGAGCACTACGAAATTTATATATTCTTAAGATTTTGGTTTCGCAATCTCTGAGCTGATCATTGGTGGTATCTTTAACAGCGGTATTATTTTGTAAATTGAGTTATTGCCAGGGTAGTTTGAAAAGTTTTCGAAATGGCAGTAAAAGCAAAACAATTTCAGTCTCTTGTACAGACTGTTTCTTTTGTTCTTGTATGTTTTTTTTTAATGTATCTACAGGCTTAGCGATAAAATTTTACTTTGCGTTTGCAGAGAGCTTTATGTTGTTCATCTATTTTTTTATTAACTAGAAAACACTCACTTTGGTCAATTCTAAAGTAGTAAATCAAAAAGCATTACTCACAATACTAAAAGTAACTAGATTTGTTACTGAACAACGTGTTCCGAAATAGTCAGGTTCAAAACTACGAAACAGTTGTCATTTTTGGCCAATAAGGGGCCAAGACACGATTAAATATTAGAGGAGTCGATTTTTTATTGGGCCCATATAATAGTAGTAAATTTCACATTTTGTGTTGACTTTCTGACGTTATAAAGTATCAAAAATATTGTTATTCTTGCTTTTGAAATCAAACTTTTTGAGAATTATCTTTTCAAAATGGAGATTAAATATTTAAAAAATTGTTAATATAATATCCACATGCAGGTTAGTATAAAATATAAAAATATGATCCGTTTACATTTTCAAAGAGGTTTTTTATTTATTTACCGCAGTTCTGTGAGAAAAGCAGAAAATTTTACATGTGAGTAAATGTAAAGAAGCTTTGTCTTGTGAATTAGACTTTTGCTGTTCCCATGTTTAATATTTTTTTCACCAACAAATACATTTTAAATAATTTAGTAAAAAATTAAAAAGGCTTACCTGACGATTCAGACTTATTAAGATAAATACTAGGTTCAGGAACTAAATTCAAAATTTCGAAGTTTGCAACTAATGATTTGTCCACTTTGTCAACGCCAATTTCTTGTGAGAATTTTTTTCCAGCTAAGGCATTCGTACACGCTAATTTCAGTTCTCTGCAACAAAAGAAAATAAATTAGTTACACTGTGAGCGATAAAATACATAAAATATTAGATAGTTTTGTTGACAATTGCTGCTTGAGCCCCTTCGGAAGCTACAGCGAAGGTTTGTGGGGCAAACCAACTAAATAAAACTGGCGATAGGAGTGCGTTAAAAGTGTCACTTTCTTTAAGATAAGAAAGCGTCTTTCAATATTGTCACAGACAAAATGATTGTTTATTATTACCAAACCGTAATTATACAGGTTGATTTAGTGAAATATCAATAATCCATATTAAAATGATTATTGGAAAACATTGATTGCAAGGCATAATTATTGTTTTCGGATATTTTTGTACAATTATTTCAGGAGTAGAATGAAAAACTCTGGTTCTAGAGCCATACTAGGTCAGAGTCTTAAGTTTGATAGACGTGAATAGATCTTAAACAATACATGACACCTACTCGAAAAATAAAGTGTAATTTATCCCTAACCATGTATATTTTTTACAGTTAAGAAGAAAATTATATTATAAAGGAATATCGTGCGTATTTCTACATTGTGTATTTATTGCTTTACTACTAGAAAATATCTACAGAAATACAAAAAAATATAAATTAATATTCAGTGAAACGCCGATTATAGAACAATGCAGAAGGAACTTTAATAAATCCCCAATTAGTGAAGCAAACTCGAAACTTTTTAGATTATAAAGATAAAAACTTTAATTAAACAACGAATGCTTCTAATTTTCTCACTTTAACTTTGGAACTTCAAGTGCAATTGTTGTACGAAGCATTCAGAAAATAGTCGAATAGATTACTTGCCACTAATTATTTTCAGACTTTCAAGTGCTTATGGTGTTGTTCAAACTAACCGAGTTTGGCTGATCTTTTTTTAAACAGTCACATGTCACTAGAAGTCGTTCTGTTCTGTATTTAATATACTCGTAAGTAAAGACAAAACAAAAAATGTTTCTGAATTATAGTTGGAGGTAAAGATATTCTTTTTCTTTCAGCAAAACAAAGGGAATCATATAAAAACACGTTAAACGGCAACCCAGGGACGGACCTAATTAGTTGTATGTTACGCTTTAAATAGGAAGTTATATATTTAATAAATATAACTAAATTTAGTTTTAAAGGCAACACTTACTGGCATTGCTTTAACTCTCTAATTAAAAAAATAAGAGTTAGAGTAAAGTTTTCGTTTATACATTTGTTTAACGTCGACCTATTCTTAACTTACCAATATTTGAAAGCAAGTTCCCCACAAATAACAGAAATGTAGCTCAATCCTGGTGATCCAACCAGAGATAGGAATCTTTACATCTCTCTCGAAAGATGAAACATCACACTTTATGCCTTGTACTCATTGATATAGTGCCTGCCAGCTGTGGTATATAACTACGCGGGCAATTTGTTTGTCACTAACATTTAGTTTTGTAGTTATAGGCTTTTAAATTATATAATTAAAATAAAACATAATACGTTCTTGGACCCGTCTCTATTTTATATTTTGATTCTTTATATATTGTAAATATAATTATTAATTGCACACTAAACCGAAATATTTATATATTACTGTATGTATAGCCGATATCAATATTCTAATGCAAACAAAACTAGTTTTATAACCCGAAAAATTCTCATTTTCCTTCAAAAACTCGTAAATTACTTCTTATTTTTCTCTTTTCGCAATATTCGCAGTCTACGAAGTTATTTGCAGAGACATTAATATTATATTTTCATTTCATTTCTGTCTGGGTTTTATGTTTTCAAGACTTGGATCAATTGGATCTGTACCTGACAAAGAGAAGACGTATATGAAAAACTAACAGAGGTAGCTATTCGCAATTCTAATTAATTTTCCAGCGATGTCTTAAGTAAACAAGGCACAGTACAGTGTTATACCGATTTAATATTTTGTAATAGAATTTTAAACTAAAAATATAGCTTTGGTTATGGAGCCTGGAATAGGAGTGTATGGGCCGAGAACCAAGCACTCCGAAAACTTGGGAAAATACCCAAGCATCTTCCAGGCGAAAATTCACGCTATCCAGAAGTGTATCCAGTTTAACATCTAGAAAAACTATCATAGACAAGAGATTATCATCATGTCCGATAGTCAAGCAGCCATCAAAGTGCTGAGCTCTTACTTAATCAGCTCAAAAATGGTCTGCAGATGCCTAGAACAATTGAATGAGCTAGGCGAGAAAAATAGAGTTACTCTCACTTGGGTCCCGGGACATAACGGGGTACAGAGTAACGAGATTGCAAATAGTCTTGCAAGGAAAGGGACTCAAACACCCTTTGTAGAACCTGAGCCGTCCTGCGGTAGCAGCAGTAACATAATATTAGGAGATATTAAAGAAGAATTGGGCAGTAGAAGAACCGATAATTGGAACAATCTCTTGGGGCTGAGACAGGCCAAGATACTTCTGGGAGAATATAACCAGCAAAGATCGGAAGCCTGCACCTGCCTGAGCAAAAACAGGCTACGTATTGTAACAGGGATCCTTATCGGGCATTGCCGACCAAAAGTACACCTAAGTAAACTGAGAGTAGTAGAGGATAGTGAGTGCAGATTCTGTGAGGAGAAAGACGAAACATCCATTTACATCCTAACTGAATGTGTAGCACTCCAGAATCCAAGGGCACTATATCTATGAGGATATCAAATAGAAGAGGGAGATTTACCTAACTTGAAGCCAATTCAAATCCTACACTTCCTTGAGAAAATAGGATTGGAAGGGTCGTTATAGGTACTGAGACATTTACTTAGTGCATTGGCGACAGAAGGGGGCACAATAGATCTTTTAGATCGTAGTGTATTAACACTCCATTCTCAACATAACATAACATGGAGCCTGTCGCCGACAAGTCCACGACAGATAAGCTGCGTTATTGAAGCCAAAAACAGGAATTTTTACAAAATCCCCAGATTTCGCGAAGCACTTGTCAGTAGTACACGACAGTTTACCGACAAATTATTCTCAAAATTCAGTTCTCTGTAGTATCTCTAAATTTAGCTGATAACCTTTATTGCTTTGTTTTTTTTTGTGTTTTTTTGCATCGTTTGATGTTAGATGATATTGCCTCTTTGAATGAAATTATTCTTGTTATTTATAGATAATGTAGTAAGTAATTTATGCGTTTTTAATTTAAAAATCGTATAAATAAAATTTTTTTTCAAAATATCAATAGACTGTAATTTTTTAATTTAACATTTCTACCACCCCCTGTAACAAGTAGAAACTTATTTTCTTACGTCGTAACCTTTCCAACATGGCAACTAAAGCCTAATCTCTGAATATTTTAAGTAGTGTTATTGTATAAAGATACTCTACTCATTTTAAAACAACTATGGCATGAAAAACTATTACCCAAGGACCCTACCACTTGCACATTTGCCAGATGTATTAAAGTTCATATTCGTTAAAAAAAATGTTTAGAGATTCAAAATATTTTTTTTTCTGTTATTCCGTAATAACCTAATAAAAAAATATGAATGATTTACAAGGTTTTATAGGATTTCAGTCATATCTTATTCGAAATGACATTGACTCCACGGAAGATTTATTAGGGACGCCTGTAAAAAAAGTCACGTAAATCGAAACGGAATGATCCAGCGATCGCTATAATTTGTTAGCCTGAATTAATACCTTTTCTCATCAGATTACCCCAGTACAAGATGACCGAGTTAAATAAGGGGAAAAGCACCGGTTTCCGATATCATTTTCCGATTTTCGTCGATAAAATTTATTGCTCAAATCATCTCTGATAAATTTATGGTTTTTTTTTTAGGGCAAGACGATGCTTTGGAATGTTACTGTTGGTAGAAAGAAGTATAAAGTATAAAAACATAACAGATGGAGATGTTACTTGCTCCATTGTCCATTATTTTATGTAAAGGCTGTCAAAAAATTGTATGTTTTGCTAGGTAGGTATCTGGAAAGCAATAGAATGTAGAAAAAAATAAGCAAGAATATTAAATATATTCAGGTATATATATATATGAAATTCTTTAATTTGTCCTACCTTTTTTTTTGTAATAAAAATCGTCCATAAAATAAAAATAAAATTATTCCAATTAATTCCAAACTCATTTTACATTTATCTACATGTTCACCATGTCAATTTTAATAAAATCTTTATTAATGTTTAATGAAATTTATTTTTAATTTTTATTACACACTCACTGTATTTTATTAGCTCTGACAATTTGGCTCTGAACCAGTGAGTTCATAATTAATTTCATTCAAATTCAATGAATATTTGATGAAATTATGAGATTAGGATGTTTTACAAAAAAAGAAAATTGGTCTAGTTATCATCAGTGCCTGGGAAATTTTGGGTTTTAAGTGTAATTAAGGGTTGTAACAGCAAAAGCGAAACAAATTAACTTGTTTTTGTGATTTGGTGTGTACGACCTTTAGGGATATATGTAAACAGGGCCGGCTATGATCGGTATGGGTTAGGGATTTATGTTTTTAGTTTATAAAATGTTTTTAACTGTAGGTATGTATACAGGTAGGTATACCAAAGAAAACTGAACTGTTATATTAATGGTTTTCATGTAATGTTTATAATAATTATAATAATAATAATAATAATAATAAACGTCTTTATTATACCAGGAAAACAACATTTACAAAGTATAAATGTAGTAGTCTAGCCAAATGGCCATTCAACTTAACCATATCACAAATCCTAAAACTAACTTAAACCTAACCTACTCTACATTACGCTGAATGTCTACGGATTATTTCAAATTTAAATTAAGAACAAGAATTAAATAAAACAAATAAAATAAATAAAATAGAATATGAATTAAATATTTTCATTTGCTTGGCTACCAAGAAAATATGATTTTAACATTATTTTAAATGAACTCGTACTCAAATATGATTTTAAGTGTGTATTTAGTGAATTGTATACTTTAGCGATATTATAGCTAAATGACCGTTGAAACATGACAGTTCTATGTCGTGGCATCGCGATAGTATGGCGATT